GGATAGTTCAGCTGGAAGAAGACCTTTCAAATTCTCGACAGCAGTATAGAGAAACCTCGCAAGAGGTACATATGATTCTTACTCCACTGCCCACTCATTAGTTAGCTGAATACGACGCAAAACGTTGTTAGCGATCATTTTACTTTTTCAATTCTGGTTTGCAGTATGTATAACAAAGAATAGGATAGAGTTTCGACAGCAACAATACCTGTCTCGAGACACTATAAGGGAAATGGGTACAAGCTTTCGGCGCAACGATTTCTGGGATTGTTTGGGTGGACAAGCGTTAGTTATGATTGGTTGATGGTATTTAAGGCGACCATTAACCAATCACAAGTGAAGAAGAGAAACGAAGCGAACGTGAGGCGGAAAGGGATGGAGTAGACGGTGTCCTTCATCTCCTCGCACTCTGACTCAAGCGTTTAGTTCTCGCGTTCATCGAATAATATGAGGTAATAGAGCGGGCTTGTGATTAATCTGAGAGTAGCTCAGTAGTTGTGTCTGCCCCCGTCTTTGCGCGGAAACTAGAAGAAGGGAAGTCTGGTTATAAGGTTGAAAGGTCAGTGTTTTATTGTTGTCATCATTGCTCTCTTCTTCAGCTTGCTCGCTGTGAAGAAAGACTGGGACTAGTAGAGCAAAGCTTGTCTTCTACCCAAGACCAGCTGAGTGGGCGCGTGTCAGAGGTAAGATATTCTGATCAATTGTTGTTATTGTTGTTGTTGTTTTTTTTAAGAGAAGGCTGGTTTTTGACGGGTTTCCTCGAAAATTATTTTGTATCTCTTAATCCAAGTGATAACTTAAACTTGCGATGTCAGTGAACTTTTAGAGTCGGTTATTTAAACGACGTCTAACTTAGTCTGCTACACAGCCGTTTTTTGTGTCGTCACGCAACGCTCCTCCCCACTAGTGGGGAGGAGTGTTGTGTGACGACACTAAAAACGGCTGTGTAGCAGACTAGGTCTAACTTAGACCGCGCGGTTTACCAAATCTTTGAACCTCCAGATCTTTTCCTTAGTGGGTTATTTCAGGAAGACAAATGCTCTTCTAGTCTACGCCATATACTTTCATGAAACTGTTCACGATAAACGCTGTTTACATAAAAGTGTTTGGCAAACTGAAAATGGCTTAGAACGGGGTTTTGTTAAACCGTTGCTAAATTCCGTTTAAATAACTGGCCCTTGTCTTAGTCCCTCTAAACTTTGACTTGTCTTGTGTTTGAAATTGTCATTTTTTCGGTTATTTAGGTCGTGAGACTGGAAAAGTCAAATAGAAGGTTTCAACTGGAGCTTAAGAGTACTGGTGAACATCAAGGAATACAAAATCGACAGGTATAAACTGTATTGCAGCGCGGCAACATTGGCGGAGAAAAACACTTACATCCTCCAGTCACATAAAACCCGGGCCACATTGCTGGGAAGCCTGTGCTCTCACCGCTACACCACCGTTGCCCAATTTTGTCAGTCACATCACCAGATTTGCGTTTCTGTCGTTTGACGCGAAAGACGTTTCTGAAAGTGACTTGTTTAAAAACATAACTCCTCAGTTGCGCAAAAGAACTCTGCCTCAATCGGGCCACCACGTTACGGATCAACACATTGTATTAACCATATTCTACTTAGAGGTTTTTTTTCCTTTTTTTTTTGCCTTCATTTGACTAATGGAGTGATGTTTTGGTTTGCAATAGATCGAAGAACTAGAAGGGTATCTTGAGCAGCTGAAGGCAGACTTACGAGTGGCTCAGCAAAGGCATCAGGCTGCCGTAGAGGAGGTGGGTGGGCCTATAAGATATTACACGACTTGATGTTTTCCAAACGGTCATTCATTTTGCAAGGTTAACTTTTCTTGAGGATGAGCTAGTCAGTCAACTGATGCCGAATGTATCCTAGCAGCATAAGCCCGTGTAACTGGCGGTATGAAGTAATGGGCGCAAAAAAAAGAAAGGAGCGCGTGAGGGAGACGCGTTTGTTCGTCGCGCGACCCTTTCTTTCTCGGATATTACTTTCAAGCACCTGCTATGTAGGCTATAATGGCATTAACTGTACCTTACAAATACAACTCATGATTTAAAACTGGTGCGCCGCCTCGTACATGAAACAAACTTGAGATGTAGCCAGAAAAAACGTACAACGTAATCCTTACCTATGCATCCAAGAAAAGATACAACATTACGTAAAGCTACGCAACATACCAATTAAATTGTGAAATATATACCAATAAAAAGATGTGAGCAGAAAGACTGGACTGGACGACGTAGAATGGCGCATTCGTCCGCATTATAATGCGCACGGCTCCCCAGTGTGGACTCAGAATTTTCGGGTGAAATGTTGTCCCATAATACTCAATCTTCAGAAATTTCATTTTATTTTGAGCGCTGTCTTGTGTGTTGTTTAGGCGGCGGCTTACGAGGACAAGGCAAGAAGGCTAGAAATCGACCTAGAGACTGCGCAAAAAGAAAACCAAGTGATTAATCAACAGGTAAGTGCAATTAAGTAACATATCTTTGATGCGTGCACAGAGAATGGACGAAGAGTATCTAAGAGATCTTTCTGAAATCCAGGGTGTCCAGCATATGATTTTTATGAAGAAAACCTATGATTTCCTAGACACCCTAGAATAAAACTAGGGCGTCAGGCTCCATCGGGCGCTGCTGGAGCACATCTTTGTCTAAAACGGAATATCATGTTTTGAATTTTCTTTCAGTTTAACGAGCAGCTTGAAAGCGCGAGGGAATTGGAGACTAATCAAGCTCAAATGAGGGGACAGATACAAGAAGCTCAAAAACATGTGAGTAAAGCAGGAGTCCTTGTTACCCATCTGCTTCTTAGTTATTACCTCGTTTCGTTATCATAGTGCACAGAGAAACCATAGAAACTACAAAATAATTAGCAGTTAGCTCTTGACCATTTTAAAGTTGAGCTTGTGCTATTCGCTACCTTGAAAACGAGAAGGAACGCAAAAGACTTCTGGAATCGTAACTGGGACGCGCCGGTAGCTAATAGGGAACTTTAGCAAAGGCGTGTTCGAGCGACACACGTCAACTGGAAGTGAACTTTTTACATTCCTGAGTCGTGGTCCTGCCAAAATTTTGAGTTTAATTGTCTGTACAAGTGTAAGGAAACTAAGCAATACAAATTTCATAGCATCAAGGCATATTAAAAGGGAAAAGTCTTCACCTCCGGATGACTTGCGTCTTCAGTAAAAGTCCCGGAAGTCTTTCCGAAAGTTGACTAGGCCCAGTCTCCTTTACGTTTCTAAAGTGGCGAATTCCGAGGTTGCGCAGAAACTGGGGCAAAATTCGTCCCCAAAGTCCCACAGTGCAATGGGACACAACACCGACGCTGTAGTCTCCTGCGTAGCCTTAAATGGCCGCTATTGTGTTGTAGTTTGGATATTAGGGAGCTCAAGCTAAGACGTTGTTGAGCGATGCACGTCAACCGGAAGTGTACTTTTTGCATTCTTGGGCAGTGGTTTTGCCCATAATTTGGGGGAAATCGTCTCGAAAACAGCAAATACACTTAACAATAGAAATTTTGTTGTGTCAGCTCTTTCATAGTTCTGATTCTTGTGAGACGTAAAAGAACCCGCACTACTGTTTATAAAGGGTAGGGAACGTAGACCCCGGTAGTGTGATCAACCTTAAGTGAACATTGTATGCCTCTGTGTTTGTGTGATTTAGCAGGGCCACATCAGCTTTAAGTTATCGTATAAAACTATGAGAATGATGATGTTGTTGATAATGATGATGCTGGTGATGGTGATGATGATGATGATGATGATGATGATGATGATGATGATGATGATGATGATGATAATGATGATGACGATGATGATGCAATGATCATGCTGATGATGATGATGATAATTTTGTTGGCAAACGTATTGAATATTCATGTCCACTTCGGTCAACTCGCATAACAAGATCTCCTAATAAAAAATCATTACATCACTTTCTCACTATATCGATAAGGCCATGTATTTACGTAAGTGTTTCTTCTTGGATAGATTCGCCATTGTCAAAGTGTAATGGAAGAGCAAGAAAGTAAAATCTCGTCTTACATCGAACAACATGAAGATCTCAAGTCCACGGTGAGTACGAGTAATGGTAATGGTTGCACTATGCCTGTTTGCGCCAGTACAACGAAGTCTTGAGGAAGTGTCGCACAACCAAAATTACAGTGAGGGAACCCAAGAAACCAACCAAACTCCCTGCAATTTATTACATGATTTGAGCGTAAGCGTAGAAAAACACATAAGACTTCGTCGTGATAGGTGTTGGTTTTACCTGTGATCGGTTCAGAAAACTGCAGAGGCCAGTCGGCCAAACTCGGAATTTAACAAAATCCTTTCGGCAGTCAACTTTAACCACAATATTCCATTTAGCAGTTTTAGATGGAAACAAGGCTAGATTTGACCTTGTTTTTATACAACCCTCCCTACTTTGTATGTAAATTATGTGGTTCTTTTGCTAACTATTATTTTTCAAGCATAATTTCCAAAAGAAAAGAAAAAAATGTGTATCAAAACATGGTCAATCACAACCCAACACGAAACCTGGGGTACAAAACCCACAACTGTAAAATGATCTATTGTCCTGAAAGGGTCTCTGTACTCAATATGTTAAGATAGAGTAGATGACCACTGTCATTAGGGAGCTTAAGCAACGACGACCACGACGTCAACGAGAACGGCAAAAAACAATAGGTTTAGACTGACAAAACGCTTTTTGGTACATTTCTTTGCCTTCACTGCACGACTACAACTTGAAATTGCCTAATTTCAAGTTTTGTGGAGGACGTGAACAAAAGACAGTGACTTTCTCTTTCTTTTCCTGAACTTCGATACAGCGTGTTAGAATTCCACTCCAGAAAAAAATTGCCAACGTTTGACGAATTGAACAAGATGAAATAACCGCGATTAAGTTTGAAACAGTTCGACTTCACTTTTGTGACGTTTTCGCCGCCGTTGTTGCTTAATCTCCATATTATCGACATTTTTTTTAGATTCGGGATAAAGAAAAATCTAATGGTCAGCTAAGGGAGGAGCTTGGTGGAGTGCTCGAGAAAAATAAGAACATTATGGAAGAGGTAGTGTATATATGTGTTCCATTTATTTCCTTCGTTAATTGTTTTTCTTCAGAACAAAAAACCTGAAATCTGTTACTTTTTAACATGGTAATCCCATGCTGAGAACACCCTTTTTATATCCCAGATTGCAGCGCGAGATGCGGACATCCGGGTTCTTAGAACAGACTTGAACTCGGCGCAGAAGAAAATTAAAAACCATTCAAATGAGGTAACGTGCACAGATTACTTATTTATCGTCAAATGACTGACAGGCCATTTAGTTTTAGATTCTATCTGATTCGGACTTCATCCTTGCCCAGGTGAAACGTTACGAGGAGATACTTCATCAATTTCAGAAAGATTTAGAAAGAGCTCAGGAGAATCACAGAAACGCCACCGTACAGGTTTGTCAAGTTTTTCTGGTTTTATGCGAAGTGTCATAGGGTTACCTTATTATATTTTTTATGTTACGTTTGGTCAAGAAATAATAAGGGATAGAGAGGGCAACGCCCAGTCTAGCCCTCAGAATATGTGAATTTCACCAAAACTATTTGTAGGCCAATTGAACGCTTGAATTAAATCGGAAGTTGGTTTCCAGACAGGTCCCCAAAACTTTATTCAGTGTCGTCAAGAGAGAATTCAATAGTCGCCATTACAATCTTCTGCATTGTTTACTTGGAGACAGTCGCGCATGGACTTGATGACGTCTCCGGCAGTATTCTTCCGTTTTATTACAAACTCTAACTTCTCTTATACCGGTGTGGTACGTGCTCTGCGTCCGTCTTTGTTGTCGTTGTTGTTTTTGTGTTTGTTCGTTTTTTATTTTCTGGATCCGAGTTTGTGAAGGCGGTATATATTTTCTTTATTTTCGTATGAAACCGTCTATAACCCTGAGTGACAACCTTGGTTGAAGATTTTAACCCAAGCATTTAGTGGGTATTTGAATGTCAATTCCTACTCATTTTGACTTGTTGTAACTCAATTCTGCCCTTTCGCAGATTGGAAACCTCGAAAAGAACGTGCAGAATCTGAAAGTGCAGTTGGCCGGTGCCAACGGAAATCACAAAGAAGCAATGGATCAGGTTATTAATTGCCGAGTTTTTGTTTTCCTGAAGATAGTACTAATGTAGTGTGGTATAGACGTTGAGCAATTTAAGAGTATATAAACCAGGGGATAAAAACACTCAGAAACTTAAGCTGCTTGTAGTTGTTATCACGGTTTTGGAAGCCATCTTGACGGGTAGGCAACAGCGTGAGAAAATTGCAGTGTTTGTATGTGAATCTAATGTCGAATAATTTCGGTAAGAAAGCTGTTCTGAAAAAAATATGAATTGTAAACTAGAGCTTCACTCCTAAGGATTCTATTTAAAAACTTTGGGGGCGTTATCTGTGCTGGAACCACTTTTTAAAATTTTCTATACATTTGTCTGTAATTTTTTTTCCTGCCGACTAAAATTTCCTTGGAAAAATTGCAGACGACTCGGAATATATGAAAAATCTAAAGCAAGCGACTGGATAAATTTAAGCACAGGTACGGCCCCCAAAATTTGTTAGAAGAATCCTTTGCTGTGTAGCTTTAGTTTACAATTCTTTCTTCAGAACGGCCGTTTTACGAACATTACTTGACGTTAAATTCTCATTTCTCACGCGGTTGCCTAGCGACAAGATGGCTTCCAAAACCGTGATAAGCTTTTTTTGTTTTTGTTTTCTAGTCGCTGCGTTCTCCTTTTTTGCTTTTTGACTCTTCTTTCTTTATTTCAGTTGTCTCAGCGCTCTAAAAGCCTGGCAAATACCAAGATGGAGTTAGCAACAACAAAACAACAGAACCAAGCTATGGAAGAACAGGTGTGACTATAACTGGAGCACTCTTTAGGGGTCTCTTGAAGAGATCGCCTTTGTAAAGCGCAATGTCATATAGTTAAAGGTGGTCAGATTTATTTGTGTCATTGAATCCATGCTTTTTTGCTACTGGCTAAGTAGTAACATTGGATTTGGTGTTACCTCTACGCCCAGAATCTGCTCCAATCAGGATGCATAGAAAGTCGGTTAATCAACAACTTGCAACAACATTCTGGCAAGCAGTCATTTCAACTAGCCTAAAAAAATTGATGAGCATTTATAACATTTCTTCTGTAACTTGAATCCCCCCTAAAAACTTTTCTTCGCTTGCCCGTTGGGCAAGTTAAGAACAGAATTCACTTAGCCGGCAGCAAAATCCGCTATCCCCAGGCTATCGGACAGAACTTTCTTTGCGCACTGTCTAATTTTAGGCAGGTTTTATCTTAAGACCAGTCTACAAAATGCGTGTCTTATTCTTCTATTCATCGCTTCAGCTGCACATTCAACAATGTTTACTTGCTTTCCTTTTTCCCCGTTTCATAGATTTTAGCACTGGAGGAGAAGGTCAGAAAGTTAAAGACAGATCTTAAAAGGGCTCAGGACAAAAATAAATATGCAGAAGGGGAAGTAAGTTGGAAAAAACTATGATATCGAGTCTTGCTTGTTGAAAAGTTTATTAGCGTATTCTTAAAAAATAAACACGTCGGAAAGCTTCATCGTACTCTTCACTACTACGTCTAGAAAAGTTAACAGCGCTATCTTTGCTGAGGAAGGTTAAGACCTCTCCCGGTCGCAAAATTATGAAACCTCTAACATTTGATAACTTGTTTCTGCCATCACGACATTCTCGCTAAAACTCGTAGTAGAATGACGCCGACTATCACGTTTTCCCGCCAAAATGACGCTGGTTCACCGGCGAGCACTGCTAAGCCGAGTATTCAATCTCGTACTCGTAGTCGTCTCGTCTGAGAATCTAAAGGTCTCTTTGTTCGTTGACGTCATTCACACTACTTTCCCTCCATCCATTCAGTATTTGCTCGTTCATTTTTTTTT